CAGTTCTGGAAAGCATCAAATAAGAGAGGTAGTAACTCCAGACAGGAGCAAAGAAATGTCTGAGTTTAAGATCTACACCTTTAATTAAGAGAATGTCTTCAGTTACTCAAACAGCTCCACAGTTTTAGAAGCAGGTAGGGATACTTTGGACTGGTCAGATATACCTCAAAGGGGCTAATCCAGATTGGTCATTGTGATCATTTGTGGGATTTTTTTGTTTTGTTTTGTCCACTTAGTGGCCATCTCAGTTGATACTGTTTTATAAAAGACTTTTTTTCTTTTCTTGTAATCAGGCAGACTTGTTCCATTACAAAACCTCAGTCTTGAGACCTCTCTGTATTTGTGCTGTTGTAGCATATTGCTGTTGGATGACGGTGTTTCCTTTTGGTATCTAGCTGAACTAGAGCTGTATGCAGACTGAGCTCTCCAACTTTTGGCTCAACCAGACTCTGCAGCAGAGCTCATGTAACCATGCTGAAATCTCTTTAGTTCATAAGTTACAATAAGTCACATGAAATCACTGCTTTCCATCCAATTACTGAATTAACAGTGCAACGACACACTATTATGTAGTTCAGCGTGAACTGAGCCCAGTTCAGCACTACTTTGGGCATGGTAAAGTGGCCACTGTTCGGCAGTAGCCAAATGTTAGTAGTATTCTCAGTGCCATTTAATGACTACAACTGCTATGATTTAGAGTGGGAACTGGGGGCCACTATACCACTAACAGAAAATTTGGACTGAGTATCAGCTACAGACCTTCAGGAAAATTCTGCTCAACTTTCAGCATTTGAAATATTCTTTTCCTGAAATTGGCAGCTCTCCTTCCTCATCTTTCTGTATCCCAATTTGGTTGGCCTCTAGTTGACAATATTTCCTTCATGGGGAAAAGGGCAGCCTCAGCAAGGCAGTCCTGGGAACAGTGGGAGGTGGACAGCTCCAGGAGCCGCTTGAAACAAAACCCAGTATCTGGACACCTAAGATTGAGATTAGAGCCATGCCCTGCACACCTAGCCCTTTTCACTTGGCTCCCACCAGCTCACGGAATAACAGATATCACTGAATTTTTACAAGTCCTAGTTTGACTGATTTTGTACACACTACCTGATAAGTAAGTAATACCAAGCAGGTGAATCTTCTATGACTCCAGATAATACCAGCAACTGAACTGAAATGGTTAATGGCTAGTTTGGGCCAACATGACAGCAACTTTCCTGTGTGTCTTTTTTTTTGTGTGTGGTGAGGTAGATCGTCCCTGAGCTAACATCCATTGCCAGTCTTCCTCTTTTTTTGTTGAGGAATATTAACCCTGAGCTAACATCCGTGCCCATCTCCCTCTATTTTTTGTATATGGGATGCCATCACAGTGTGGCCCGATGAGTGGCACATAGGTCCACGCCTGGGATCCAAACCTGCGAACCCTGGGCCACCAAAGCAGAGTGCTCGAACTTAACCACTATGCCACCAGGTTGGCCTCACTTCTTTTTTTTTTTGGTGAGGGAGATTGGCCGTGAGCTAACATCTGTTGCCAATCTTCCTGTTTTTGCTTAGGGAAGATTGTCCCTGAGCTAACATCTATGCCCATCTTCCTCTATTTTGTATATGGAATGCCACCACAGCATGGCTTGATAAGTGGTGCGTAGGTCCGCGCCCAGGATCCAAACCTGCGAACCCTGGGCCGCCGAAGTGGAGCGCAGAAACTTAACCACTATACCACTGGGCCGGCCCCCTTTCCTGTGTTTTGTTCAGCTTTACAGCTTGCTTTTTTTTTTTTTTTTTCCCTTGACATCTGCATCATCCTGCTTGTCACTGTAGATAGGATAGGCCCCTCGTTGGGTAGTTGGCTCCTATCCTTGCTGACATCTCCGTATTAGTCACTCTTGCCTATCACTGTGCTTTCACCTTTGTCGTATTTTCAAAAAGGAAGATGATAACCTCCCTTAGAAACTTTTTCGGTCAAAAGCAAAGATGCTGAATAAAGTCTAAATAAGCTACAGTTTTGCTAGTTAGAAAACGTATGTTGGAATTGTCCTTTCTCTTTGCTCTCTGGACATAGCACAATTAGGTGGACCTTTATATTTCTGGCCATGTGTCTCGAGTACCCTTTGAATCCTGTCCCTGTAAGATCAGAGTTCTTGATTCTGAGTTGAAGCTGAGTTGCGTCTGATATACTGAACACAAACAAAGGAGAATCAGGATTGCTTTCAGTTTCTTCTATGGTTTTGAATAAAACTGACAAGAGCGTGGGGGGCGGGGGAGTACATTCAGCTCTTGTCCAGCTAAGATAATGTTCATATAATACTCAAAGATAATAAGAAAGAAATCTCAGAAAATAAGGGCTCTAAATGGACTTTATTTCCTTTGGAAATAACACCACGAGTGAGTGCCGTTTCTCAATGCCTTTTATTGAATTTAGCATATTTGATAAAACTGCTATTTCTCTTCTAGTGTGTTTTTTCTTTCTTGCCATCAAGGACCTGCCAACCAGGTCCATAAAGAATTCCCTCTCTTTCAAGCTTGGATTGTAATGTAAGCCTGGCCAGAAGGGAGGAGAGTGGTTGGGGAGAGAAGGGGTAAGCCTATCAGAAAGTCATAAAACCAGATCAGAGCATCAAGACAAATGAGACGTTTTGTGTCCTCCCCTTTCTTAGAAAGGGTTTTTCTTTCTGCTCAAGTTCTAGCTTCCTTTTTATTCGGAAGTTAGCTCCAAAGATATTTCCAAACAGATAAACGTTGTCTGATTCCAAATAATAGTTAATTCTCTAAGGCAATGTCTGTACGTTAGAGTCACTGGGAGAGCTTTTCAAAATTCTAATGCCCAGGCTACACCCCAAAACAATTAAATCAGTATCTCTGGGGATGAGACTCAGGCATCAGTGTTTTTTTCAATCCCCACACTGTACACGCACAAGTGGTTGATTCCATTGTGTATCTAAGGTTGAGGACCATAGTTAATGGAGCACAATTGAAGTAGTTATTAGTACTCTTAGAAAGTTTGCTTCTTACTCTAAGAAACCTCCAGGTTTTTATGAAGGAGAAATTAAAAACTAAAGACACCTCCTAATCAGCCTGCCTTTGCAAACTTCTTCTCTATGACTGTTTTTTTTTTTTTTTTTTTTTACACATATCTGCCCTGTGCACCAGTCTAACTGGACTGCTCTTTCTTTTTGATCACGCTTTTACAACCTTTGTTTTGCTATTTGAGAAATAACTCCCCCCCATTTTTGCTTTTTATAATCTCACACTGCCCCCTCTTTGAAGCTTCTTTTCATTATCCTTCTGTTCTTCCTGTCAGAGTTTCTCTTTTTTGCTTTAGTATATTCTGTATGATTCTGTATTCATGTTATAAGCCTGGGTCTTACTCATCCATCTATTTCCCTCATTACCTGACATCTTTACATTCCCCATAGTGCCTTGTATCCAGTAAACATTGTGTAAGTGTTTGTTTGAATAAAAGAAATTTTATGCTTTTCAGATGTCATGCTACAGATGTGCACTATTCTAGAACCAGGAGAAGGCAGATGTGTAATACCTTTTCTGTTTGCTTTCATACTTTTCCAGTTATCCAAATTCTTAGTTGTGATGACTTTTTTATTTGTTTACACATGTGATTTTCATCCCATGTCCAACCATTCAATAGTCTTCAGGAACCAGATTCTGGAAATGTTGGCTTTTTGAGATTTGGAGTGCTCTGTAGCTTATTAGTACAGAGCATGCTTATTAATTCCAGTTATGAAGCACCTGTGAGGGTTATTTTCTGTCATGGTGGAAACAGAATTTTGTCATAGGTCTCACTATTTTTCAATATAGATTATGTTTTAGATTTTGGCAACCCTGTTTTATATATCTGTTCATTGAGAAGACAAATAAATCCTCTTTCTCAAATCCTGAAGACCAATACAGTTTTGTTTTTTAACACAACCGCAGCACAAAAATCTCCAAGTTTCTACCACAGAAGGACAAGACAATAAAGGAAACTGTGTTGTAGAGCAGACAAGGCATTTGGTGATTCAAAGAGGAATTTTAGATGCACAGTGAGAAGTAGGGAAGAGGCGAATGTGAAACTGTAGCAAAAAAAAGGTGGTTTTGCTTTTTAAACAGCACCGTTAGTTGTATGTGTGTTTTACATTTCTTCATGCCAGCTATTTTCAGCTTTGGTTCTTCTTTAATGCTTTTGTCATGGAAGACTGACTTCAGGGTGGATTATATCAGAGCCCTGAGGAAAAAAAGGCAAGACTAAGACCATGTGGAATTATTTTCCTGTCACCTAGCTAATTAAGTCAGTCTAATTCTCCAATAGTTAGCCTCCTTTTAAATGATCTACTCCAAAGAAATCATAGCATTTCTCCTTAGTAGTATTGACTGTGGGAGAGGTTTGAAGCATTGCATGCCTTCCCACTTCCTCCGCAGGTAGGATATCTTCCTATCCCAGCTGTTTTCTTTCTTAGGAAAGTTCTAAACTCTAAAAATCACTCTTATTCCACCTATAATTTTTGAAGCTTGAAATTGCGGCTCAGTACTCGTTTGATTCTCACCTTCTCAGTGGGGCAGCAGGTTTTGTAGATCAAAGCACATTTTAGTTTTTCTTTGCTTTTCTTTTTTTTCCCCTTAAATTTCCTTTTAAAGAAAAAATAAAACATATTCGAAACATTACTGCTTGGAGATAGAGCTTCTTGGAATACGTAAACTCTTTAAATCCTGTTTGGGTTTGTGCCTGTATACGCCAGTGGAAAGATTGGATCTGAAACATCCCTGAGATGTCCCAGCTCCATCTTCTTTCCAAGTTTTCTCAAAACTCCCACGCACCATCACTACCAGTACTCAGTTGCCCTAGGACATATTTCTTTGCAATCTAGAATTTCTTTAGGCTTTGGGAGTCAAGTTGAATAGCATGTATTCCCGGCAACTTGGTAGAGCAATTTACAGATTCTATATGGGCATCTAGTACTTAGCTAAATGAACTCTACCTCTCTCTCCTCTCTCTCCTTTCTCTCTTTCAGCTTGGCAGTGACCTTGGCGGGGGCATTGGAGGAAGTCCGGCAGTAAGTGCCATCCGTTTTTTTCACCATGGGATGCGCTGCCCCCTGTTTGATGCCTTTCCTATGCACACATTCTCAGACCAGCCACCGCTGCTATCTAGCACTGCACCAAAAGCTCTGTAGCAGTATATCAAGAGTAGAAAGTAGTGTAGGGTTACTTGGAATCTTTGGGGTCATACACCACGTGTGGTGTAGGAGTGTCTTTAGGGATTGGCACTCTGGTGTCTGCAGAGATCTCTGTCTTCCTGACATTAAAGAGCTAAAGGAAATGGAACCTCCCATCTTGACTGGAGAATGCTCTTATTCTCTAGTGTCATCTAGAAAGAACTTGAATCAACTGGACTCAGAGTGAGACTTTCCTCGTAAGTGAGTGATTTTGGGGGGTGTGAATATCCATCTCCCCCAGGAGAGTTTCCTACTAGATATTTATGCCTACATGGGAAAGTAAGACTTGCCTGGACCCAAATGGAAATGGAATTGCTGTCTAAGTTGGATACTTCTCCTCCTTTCTATAAAAACAAAACTCTCCCTTCATTAGGGTACCTATAGGCCTTTTGCACAGAATCATGGAAGCTAAAATTGGAAACAAACAGAAAAAATCTTGGATCACTGTGTTTCTGATCCTACTGATTATTCTCTCTTGATAGAACTTCTAAAGAGTGTGTGTATCTTACCGGTGATGAAAAAATAACTGTGATGATTAAAAGGACAAAGAATATACTAATTCAGCTCCTAAGAATATTATAATTATGGTGTGTTCTTATTGATTTATCAATACTACTAAAATATATAGCAGCATTTTAAGGACTATTAATCTGTTCTTCCTGATCTCCCCCCCTTCTCTTTTTTCCCTGCAGGTGGGACAGTCCTTCATCCCATCATCAGTGCCTGCAACTTTTGCTCCTTCACCTACTCCTGCTGTGGTCAGCAGTGGTCTGAATGACCTATTTGAACTCTCCACGGGGATAGGCATGGCACCTGGTGGTTATGTGGCTCCTAAGGCTGTAAGTAAAGCAATACTTTCTTAATGGACAAGACCTGAATTAGTTAGCTTCTAACATTTGTATTACTTCCGCTGATAATGAATCCAAGGTTTGTGTCCTTGTTCTAGAGGATTTAAGAGGAAGATGAAAAGTGGCCTCAGACTTAGCAGTAAGAAGCACCATGGCATCCTCATTAAATCTTTTTATAATTAGAGTTAAAATTGTAAATATTAAGTTTTTGAGTTTTGTTCTCTTATTTAGAAATAGTTTCTGGTTTGTCAACGCTAAAGCCAATCTAGTGTAAATCTGGTATACAGTGCAACAGCAGGGGGAAAAATATAGCATAGAGAAGTAACATTTTTACTTCTCATTCCTTCCGTTCCCCCTTTTCCATTGGTATTACACATGGATTCTAGCGTGCCATTGCCCAAATTTGGTTTTCCTGGATTTTAGTGTACCTTTTTAGCATTCTGATTTAGGTTTGTGTCATTTGTGCTCTTCTAGTCTCAGCCTTGATTGATGTCGCATTCAGATTGAAATTCACATGGGGAAACTCCCTGTAAATAAAGCTTATTTTGGTCCTTGGGAATAATACCATCCAGGCTAGGCTAGGTTTCCTGTAATCTTGCCTTTCTGAGGGACAACGTGCCTGGTTGCTTCCTGAATTCTCTGCCTGCTCATCTGACTCTGTGTGTGGGATCTCTGCTACAGATATGTCGACCAGTTGTCCATTCCAGGAGTCATAACTGTGTACACAGCCATTTCATAGAGTAACCAAAAATAGGAATGAAAACCGAGCCATAGTGTTTTAGCACAGCTTAGTAGTTTTGTTTTGAGGTTACTGTGTTGAATGTTATCCCTGCAGACTTTTAATTACTGATTAAAAGGTTGTCTAACTCACTTTTTTACTAACATTAACATAATATATACAAATGACAAATTTAAATAATACAGAAATAACAGACAGAAAATTGTCTCCCTCTGTCCCCACTTTTCTGTAGATAGCCACTATTAACTTTCTTCTGTGTCCTTTCAGAAGAAAAAGAAAAAGATCACAGATATACCTATATGTTTGTTTCTTTTAAACATATTGTATCAATGGGATATACTGTTTTGCACTTTGTTTTTTCTCTACCACATTCTTTTGAATGGCTGTATCCACTGTCTTGCTGTACAACTTATTTAATCATTCTCCTGTTGATGAACATTTAGAATATTCCCCCCAACCTTTGTTCTTACAATGATGCAGTGTACATCCATGTGTTGTATATCCTGGTATATTTTCGTAAGTATATCTGTAGGGTAAACTTGCAATGTGCTTGATCATTTAAACATTTTAAAATAGACATTACCAACTTACCCTCCAAAAAGGTGACATCAGATTATATTCCAAACAGAATATGAGTGCCAGATTCCTTATATTTTCGTTCATTATTACAGCCTTTTTGAATTTTTAACCCTCTGATAGATGAAAAATAATATCTTGTGATTGTTTGATTTCATTTCCTTCCTTCCTTCTTTTGTTTTTTTTCTTTGGTGTTGCTAAGTGTATTCTCATATTTATTCGCCACCCACTGACTCTTCGTTATTCTGTCCTAGGTAGTCAGAACAGTTGGCGAATTTCCTGATTTTTTTCTTTTTTTGTAAACCAGTACAGTCCAGGAGTATCACAGATTTTGGGGCCAGGGGTGGGTAATGAATGAATTATATAGAGAGAATAGTCATTCAGATTAATTAAGCAACATCTGAGTACTTACTATTACCAGAAACTATAGCAAGAGTTAAAAATATACGTAAGACATGGTCCTTGCCCTTAAGGAGATTACTGGTAATGGTTTCGGTAATGATAAAGTCTTCAAAGATTATAGACATGCTATTTTCACTAGTAGATTCAGTTTCTTCTCTTTTAAGCCTTTTACCAAAGCTGTTAACAAAAAAAGCACATTATACTCATTGGAATTTCTTTTTTCCTTATATATATTTTGTAGCAGTACTCAAAAGCAGTGAAATGACAAAGTTGCACAGAAGATGGAGAAGCAGCCAGGGTTACCCATAGACATTTTTTGTTGTTCTTTTTTTTGGTTCTTAAGTAGTTGAGAATGATTGCAACATTCAGAAAATATGACTTCATCCAGAGCCTTTTGTGTCTAACTTGATATTTATGGTATAAAAATCACCATAATTGCCTAGAGAAGTGACGTCTTAATTTCATCTTCATTTATTCAAAAACAGATAGCATCAAAATAAATCCTATCTGGTTCCATTGGGCTTTATACTGTGTTTCAGGTCTGGCTGCCTGCAGTAAAGGCTAAAGGCTTGGAGATTTCCGGAACATTTACGCACCGGCAGGGGCACATCTATATGGAAATGAACTTCACCAACAAAGCTCTGCAGCACATGACAGACTTTGCAATCCAGTTTAACAAGAATAGGTAAGAAATCTGAGTCCCTGGCTTGATCCTGAGCCTGGTATCCAACGAGAAAATGTTTCATTTCATGATTGGTAAAAACTCTCTGGCAGATGCAGGATGTGCATGGAGTGAGCACTGGCTCTTGCCTGTCTCTTCAGTTGTCAGCTTTAACTCTGGGGGCGCTAGGGATTTTGTTGGGAAACTCATCCGTATGGAATGTGGAAACCAGAACTTATATACTGCCTTCTTAAAGGATTCTAGGCCTAGAATGTTTTTACTAAAACAGTTTACAAAAAAAAAACCAAAAACTTAATTGAAATGCATTTATTCATTCAACAAATAATTGTTTAGCATCTGTGTGCCAGACATTTCTAGCTACTGAGGCTAGAGTAGTGAACCAAATAGATGTGTGTCCAAAGCTCATGTTTTGGTGGGAAAAAATGAATGTACTTTGATTGATGTCAGAAATATAGAAGACAGTCAGTATACCTCTTAACTGAATAATCACATATAGGCTGTGTAGGGGAAGAGGGAGAATCCCCTTCTGCCCTTTCCCTTAAGGTTCTTATGGCTGGCCAAATAATTAACAAGACAGGTTAGCAGGAGAAAATAATACCAAGTTTAATAACATGTATACATGGGAGAAACCAGGGAAACTGAATTTCTCAACACAATAGCAGAGATTCTTGTCTTAAATACCATCTTCAGCCAAAGACAAAGGAGGATGTTGGCGGTGGGGGGAGTCAGTTACGGGAGATTACCAGAAAAGCACAGTAAACAAGAGTAAGGTTATTATGCAGATTTAAGGCCTAACCTTTCACACTGATAAGTTTTTAGAGATGAGGTCATCCCCGCCTTCTCCCAGCACAGAGAGGGAGATACCTTTACAAATGGAAATTTCCCTTATAAATGTAAATGTTTGTCTGGCAACTCCCAGCAGGGCTGCCCAGAGAATGTGGCCAGGAAGAGACAGAATTTTGATAAGAGGGGCTTGTTGGTGCCTTTCCTATTGTAACATCTATTTTACATTATATTACAGCCATCAGGATAGTAACTCCTTCCTGAAGCAGATCCTCCATGTCAAGTTCCTTAGGCAGTTTGGGAGGGGAAACTCAACGGTTCTTCCTGAGTTTTCTGAGTCTTTATTGTCTTCAGCTCGAAATAATCCGCATACCAGAGTGGTGCATCTTGGGGTGGCCTGCCCTGAGCACCATCAGCTGACAGTCTGCTTTTAGCAATGACCTCTCTGCCTTAATAAGGAAGAGAACATGAAGAAGTAAAATCTTGATGTCCCATAGATCTGAAACATCACTGGTTTTTGTTGAATTTTGTGGTTCAGGAAACTGGCTGCTAGACTTTGATGGCAGGTACATTCACTCGTAAAATACAAGATAGTCGAACTTGTTTCTAACAAGATAGGAATTGGACCCTCAAAGCAGATTTAATAAAATTTGTCGATGACAACTTGCATCAATGGCTGTCTTAACTTATTTCTAATCATTTGGAAATAACTTTTGTACCCTAGATTTGAAACTTTTGTACCCTGGGTTAGAAATCACTTAAGTATCTAGAAAGTCTGTGTTTTCTTCTGTCAAGCCCAGTTATATTTCCAGCCACTTTTTGAGGAGCTGGCTGTGTTGAAGGCCAAGGCTGTTGGGGAATCTAGTGTAATAAAGGCAGTCTGCATAGCCTGCCTTCATACCTTCATTTCTATTTGTCTTTGCTTTTTTTTTCTTTTAAGTAGTCTGATACTTAGGAAAGTTTATATTTTTGTTCTGATATAATTTTTCCTTTATAAAATACCCTTAGTCCCTGCTTTCTATAGTTTATTGATTTCCTACTGTAACTTATATCTTCTCCCCTCCCCCATTATCTAATGTCAGTAGTACTCTCTTTCTTTGAATTTACTTTTGTGCTCTTAAGAATGCTTAAACTTCTACTGCTTGGTTTGTTGTCTTTGATCTCCAGTTATGACAGATGAGGCCAAGAGTTGATTCTACTTTCTACCCACTTGCCCCCTTTTGCTCTCATTTTTGTAAATTGTATCATTTCTATATTTCATACTTTTTACCTTGATCCCCATCTTTGTTTTGTCTTGGATTTGTACTCACTGCCAGTCCTTTTAAGTTTCTACTGTCATTTCTTGGATGTCTTCTAGTAGGTTCCTCAGAAAGGGCTCATGAGAGTAATAATCCTTGAATTCTTACATGGTCAAAACTGTGACCTTTATACTTGAAAATTCTTGGCTTAAACTCTTTAAGTGTTTTACTCCAGTGTCTTTTGTCATTGCATGTTTCTATCAAAAAGTCAGTTGTGGCCCAGCCCTGTGGCTTAGCGGTTAAGTGTGCGTGCTCCGCTACCAGTAGCCCGGGTTCGGACCCCGGGCGCGCACCGACGCACCGCTTCTCCGGCCATGCTGAGGCCGCGTCCCACATACAAAAACTAGAAGGATGTGCAACTATGACATGCAACTATCTACTGGGGCTTTGGGGGCGGGGGGGGAAGGAGGAGGATTGGCAATGGATGTTAGCTCAGAGCTGGTCTTCCTCAGCAAAAAGAGGAGGATTAGCATGGATGTTAGCTGAGGGCTGATCTTCCTCACAGAAAAAAAAAAAGTGAGTTGCTGGGGCAGGCCTGATGGCGCAGGTGGTTAAGTGCGCGCCCTCTGCCTTGGTGGCCCGGGGTTCGCAGGTTCGGATCCCAGGCGCGCACTGACGCACTGTTTGTCAAGCCATGCTGTGGTGGCATCCCCATACAAAGTAGAGGAAGATGGCCTCTAAGATATCCGTCTAAAGACGGATTTTAGCTCAGGGCCAATCTTCCTCAAGAAAAAAGGGGAGGATTGGCATCGGATGTTAGCTCAGGGCTAGTCCTCCTCACAAAAAGAAAAAAAGAAAAGTCAGTTGCCAAACTGATTTTTCCCCATATAAGTGATTTTGTCTGGTTGCCCGGAGTTTTGAAGTCCAATAATTTTACTAGGATATTCCCAATGTTGACCAATCTTGGTCAGTTTTTCTTGGAATAAAGTGTGCCCTTTCACTATGTACTTTGAAGTCTTTTATTTCAGGAAAGTTTTCAGAGTTTATAAGTTTAAACTTTTGTACTGTTCCATTGTTTAGATTTTCTTTGGAGAATTATGTATTTATTGGCTCATATTTGTCTATTTTTTATATATACTATTTTTCCCTCTCATCTTTTCTTATAAAAATACAATATGTATCTCATTACCTTTTTTACCCATACACAACACTATTATCGTACAAGAAAGTATTTAATATCATCAGTTCTTTAATATCATCGAGCATCCAATCAGTGGATTTTCATAGTTGTCTAATGTTTTTGTACAGTTTGTTTTGTCTGAACAGGGTCCCAGTAAGGTCCCCATACATGCCAATTGTTGGTAAGTGTCTTAAGTCTCTTTTACCCTATATAGGTTTTAGCCTATATAGGTTCCTCCTCCTCTCTTTTTTCCTTGAAATTTATTTGTAGAGGAAATTAGGTCTTTTATTGGTGGAATTTCCCACAATCTAGATTTTGCTGATTATGTCTGTAAATTGGAGGCGGATTTATAGGCTTCATCAGATTTAGACTGGATCTTCTGGCAAGAGTGCTTCATGGGTGGTGGTGATCTTTTTCTCTCATTTCTGTTTTTTTGTTTTTTTTTTATTTAGTGTGTGTGTGCGTGCGCGAGGAAGATCAGCCCTGAGCTAACATCCATGCCAGTCCTCCTCTTTTTGCTGAGGGAAGACTGGCCTGGAGCTAACATCCGTGCTGATCTTCCTCCATTTTATATGGGACACCGCCACAGCCCGGCCTGACAAGAGGTACGTTGTTGCGTGCCCGGGATCCAAACCCGGGCCACCAGCAGCGGAGCACGAGCACTTCACTGCTATGCCACGAGCCCAGCCCTCTCATTTCTGTTTTATGTTATTTGCTTTTTCACGTTTTATTCTCTGTGTCTCTTATTGTGTTTATGATGGTGTCTCTTCTCTTGCTCTTTGTAGCTCTATCTTGGTCACTATAATTGTGCCTTTTCTATAATTTTTCTAAATGAAATCACATAGTATGGAGCCTTTTGCATCTGGTTTCTTTCACTTAGCATAATGCTTTGAGATCTCATAGACTGTTCCATTTTATTGCTGAGTAGTACTCCATTGATGAATATGCCACAGTTTGTTTGCCCTTTCACCACTCGGTGGGCTTTTGCGTTGTTTCCAGTTTTATCTTTTATGACTAAAGCTGCTATGAATATTCGTGTACAAGTCTTAGCGGTGGATATATGTTTTTGGTTTTCCTGGGTAAATATCTACCTAGCACTGGTATTGCTGGGTCACATGGTGAGTCTGAGAGTTCTAGCTGTTCCATATCCTTACCAATTTTAGCTATTCTTATAGATGTATAGTAGTCTCTCATTTTAATTTGCATTTCCCTCATGACTAATAATATTGAACATTTTTTTCATAAGCTTATTGACCGTTCTTATATCTTCTTTATGGAAGTATCTGCTCAAATCTTTTTATTGATTGATTGATTGATTGATTGTCTTATCAAGTAGTAATAAAAGTTCTTTATATGTTCTGGATACAAGTCTTTTGTCAAATATATGTCTTGCAAATATTTTCTCCCAGTCCAAGGCTTGCCTTTATTTTCTTAACAGTGTCTTTCAAAAAAAATTTTTTTAATTTAAATAAAGTTCATTTTACAAACTTTTTATTGCTTATGCTTTTTGTGTTCTATTTAAGAAATCTTTGCCTGACCCATGGTTAAAAGATTTTTTTTCTATGTTTTTTAATAGAAATGTTATAGATTTAGCTCCTACATTTACTTTTATAATCCATTTTGAGGTAATTTTCAAATATGGTGTAAAGTAAGAGTCAAAGTAAACTTTTTTTCCATGGTAAGTCTTGAAATCAGATAATATATAAACCCTCCAACTTGGTTCTTTTTCAAAAATTGTTATGGCTATTCTACGCCCTTTGCCTACTGGGATTTTGATGGAGAGTGCAGTGAATATGTAGATCAGTTTGGGGGAGAATTGACATCAAACAACACTGAGTCTTTTAATCCACTAGCATAATATCTCTCTCCATTTATCTAACTTCTCTCTGCAGTGTTTTATAATTTTTCACGTACAAATCTTGTACATCTTTTGTCAGATTTAAGTATTTTGAGGTTTGATGTTATAGTAAATAGCATTTTTTCATTTTAATTTTTGATTGTTGCTAGTATATAGAAATAGAATTTATTTTTATATATTGAACTTGTATCTTGCAACTTTGTTAAACTCACTTGTTAGTTCTAGTAGCCCTTTTGTAGATTCCTTATGGTTTTCTTCATAGATAAATCATGTTATCTGTGAACAGAGACAGTTTTATTTTTTCCTTTTCAATGTTATGCCTTTCTTTTTCTTGCCTGATTATGCTACCTAGGATCTCCAGTAAATGTTGAGTAGAAGTGGTAAGAAGGGACATCTTTGCCATGTTCTAATTCTGTGGAGGAAAGCATTCAGTCTTTCACCATTAATGTTAGCAGTAGGTTTTTCATGGAGGTTGAGGGAGTTCCCTTCTATTCCTAGTTTGCTGAACTTTTTTATGAGTGGGTATTATATTTTGTCAGATGCTTCTTCAGCATTTATTGAGATGATCATGTGGTTCTTTTTAGTCTATTAATATATGACAGATTACATTGATTGATTTTTTTCTAATGTCACACCAATCTTGTATTCCTGGAATAAATTGTATTTGTTCAGGATATATTATCTTTTTTATGTACTGCTGGATTTGATTTGCTAAAATTTTGTTGAGTATTTTTTGCATCTGTCTTCATGATGTGGTTTAGTTCATTTCTGACATGATTTGTTCTTTTTTATTACTATTTCTTCCCTGAGTTTTACTGGCTCTCCTTCTCCTTCTCCTGTTGTCTGACATGTCTTCCCCAGGTGCTTCCTTCACCGTTGTGTGTTCTTTGGTAGCTGCAATTCCTTCATTAAGTGTATTTTTCCCTTAACTTCGTGTATAAATGTTTCATAATTTCATTTGTTTTAATGGCACGTTATTTTCAGGTATGTTTTGTTTGTCAATAAGGAAGTTGTGGGCCCTGTGGCTTGGTGGTTAAGTGCGCGCGCTGCGATGCTGGTGGCCCGGGTTCGGATCCCGGGTGCGCATCGAGGCACCACTTCTCCGTTCATCCTGAGGCCGAGTCCCACATACAGCAACTAGAAGGATGTGCAGCTACGACACACAACTATCCACTGGGGCTTTGGGGGGAAAAATAAAATAAATAAAATCTTTAAAAAAAAAAAAAATAAATAAGGAAGTTGTACTGCTGTTTCTCCACTTTTTTATAATAGCGTCTTTGAAATAGGTGCTGTATTTATACCACTTTGATACTATATTTGAATGAGTTGGTATTTGCAGGACTAGCTGTTAGCAGGAGGTTCCTGGAAAAGAGGAAGATAAGCCAGCCTCTTGGTCTCTGCCTCCGAGGAATGCAACCCTGTCTTCCAAGGTGTTTGTTTCCCCTTTAGAAGGTGGTGCTTTTTGAGCTCTGTCACTGCAAACCCCCCTGGGTACTTTCCACCTTCTTTCTTCACGTCAGCCTGTGGTGTTCCCTGTTTGATCCTAGTCCTGCTCATAGCAGTTTATACTCGGAATGGATATTTATGTCACTGTCTGAGGCCTTCTACCACTAGTTTCCTCTGAACTCCCTGTGCCTTCCTACTGCACCTCTAGAGCTTCTCTCGCGAGTTCTGCTGATCTCATTGTGCTTTGGCCACACTTAAATGTAATTTGGAGTTTGCAGGTTTTCTCTGACTTGTAGTTTTGCAGAAGGGGAAGTTGTAGATTTGTAGGGAATTTTTCTCTCTGTATCGTTTCCAAGAGGAGCTATTGGAAGATTTGAAACTAAGCTGCTGCCATGTTTGCATCCCAATATTGACTTCTAACAGAGTTTGTTGACCACAAGAGCAAGATCAAAAGAGCAAGATGGTTTTTTGACCTGTAATTGTTATACCAAAATGAGTGATGTGAGTTCTCATTATTTCATTATTACATTTTGGTACTCTTTTTTTTTAGATTTTATTTTTTTGGTGAGGAAGATTGTCACTGAGCTAACATCTGTGCCAGTCTTCCTCTGTTTCCTATGTGGGATGGCACCACGGCATGGCTTGATGAGCCGTGTGTAGGTCTGCACCCAGGATCCAAACTCACGGACCCCAGGCTGCTGAAGCAGAGTGCATGAACTTAACCACTGCACCACCGGGCCAGCCCCAATTTTGGTACTCTTAATTTGTAGTTTATCTAGAAAAAGGAAAATCTTTCTTGTGCCATCCTATGTCTCTTGAAAGAGATACTACCTATATAAACTCATATTAATAGTATTTTATAAATATTATAGTCCCATCTTCCTTCCTGAGGCTAATTAGAGCATAAATTCAATATAAATTTATATCATTCATTTGTTTATTTGTAGGCCCACTTTTCCCTTTCTGCTCCATCTTTTTGAAATTTTATTCTTATGTTTCTCGGACATAAGACATGTCTGCCCTCCCTCATATGTTTTTGTTTTTTATGTAATTTCAGACTCAAGCTTTTCCCATCTCTTTACTATTCTTGTATTATTATTAGATAGGTTTCTGTGAGAAGTCAAACTGGTGGGTACTCATTGCCTACCTTAGGCTTAGAAAGTGGCCAGATTTGGGTCTACAACTTACCCTAATCATTTGGAATGTTTAAGCCAATCAATTCTGCTTTACTTAGACTAGCTCTTTCCCAATTATCTGTCCTATGTAAGTGAACAAAAAAGAAATAAAATGAGAGTTACCAGTAAATAATACTCTGGACTGATTGGGTGGGTTATCAAGCTAGTGAAATAATATCAATTTATTGTACTTTATAGGATTGATATTCTTAAGTCTTCTTTCTCCCAGGGATTATCTAAGGAAAGATGTATAAAAAAAGATACTTAGCAAACGTGTTCCTCTAGTGGCATGATAAACATAAGATGTATAAAAAAAGATACTTAGCAAACGTGTTCCTCTAGTGGCATGATAAACATAAGAAACTTTCAGAATCAGAGCACTAGCAAAGCAATTCTATGCTTTTGAATCTTTTCTCCTTCCTCAAATCCATTTAATGGAAAACACGGGTTATGTTGTCACCAATGTTGTAGCAAATTAGAATTGAGCATCTTGGTTCCTGCTGTTCCTTCCATTTAATTTTATTAAAAATTATGTTTCCTTCAAATGGAGTAAAAAGCCATTGAAATTCAAAGATGTGGCTAAATCCTGCCTCCTGATTAACCTCTGGGATTTCTTCATCCTCTCTCCTAGTTTTGGTGTCATCCCCAGCACTCCTCTGGCCATCCATACACCACTGATGCCAAACCAGAGCATTGATGTCTCTCTGCCTCTCAACACCTTGGGCCCGGTCATGAAGATGGAACCTCTGAATAACCTGCAGGTTAGTGTTGTACTTCACTCAGGGGGTACAAGTTGCTATCTTGCCAATTTTATTTCATTTATATACAAAATAACCCCTGTCTCTTCCTTATATTATTATTATTATTTTTGTGTGTGTGTGTGAGGAAGGTCAGCCTTGAGCTAACAGCAATGCTAATCCTCCTCTTTTTGCTGGGGAAGACCGGCTCTGAGCTAACATCTGTTGCCAATCCTCCTCCTTTTTTTTTTCCCCAAAGCCCCAGTAGATAGTTGTATGTCATAGTTGCACATTCTTCTAGTTGCTGTATGTGGGACGCGGCCTCAGCATGGCCAGAGAAGCGGTGCGTTGGTGTGCGCCCAGGATCCAAACCCGGGCCGCCAGCAGCGGAGCACGCGCACTTAACCGCTAAGCCACAGGGCCGGCCCTCTTCCTTATATTAGATTTGGTCATGGAATAGGGTTTGAAATACCTCTGTGGAAAAAAATTTTATATTTTATTTTAAAATTTCTATTTTTTAGTTTTATTTTAAAATAAAAGTTATGCATTGACATAGAAAGTTATTCATTCTTTTACTCAACAAACGTTTAGAAACTTTTTCTTAAGACTTTCATAGTGAACTAGAAAGTCATTTATATAAGAATAAATTTCAGTAGATTTATATGGAGGGTATCTTTGAACACACAATCATAAATAGTTAGGTTATCTAGATTTAAATGCCCCATATTAGCATGTATCTGTGATAGGTGTAGCAGCATCTTAGAGGAGCTCAGAACTTTATCAGGTCTGCAAGAGCCTCGTGATCTTGAAAATATTGAATTTTTAAAAATGCTTAAATACTACCTTAGAGTCTCACTCAGTTCGTCTATTTTGAATTTCTCTTTGAAGTATAAGCCTTCTGGGGTTCAAACAACATGGAGGCAGAGTGGTAAACTTGTAAGCTGAGGCTGCAGCAGCCCTAAAGGGTTAGTAAAACAGATATAAGCCCTAGAAGTCGGGGGTTTTAATGCTCACTAGGACAGGAGAGATGGCCTTGGGCAAAGCTGAGATGAGGAACTGTAACTGATGTCTGCATAAAGCTGAGTCCCTGGAAGGGCAACCCCCTCAGTGAAAGAGGAACTAGAAAAGCATTTCCGCGAGGGCAGGTCATGAAAAAATTTCTCTCTGACCAGAGTTCTGGGTGGCCTCTTATGAGAAATTCAGGGCTCAATGGTATGCCATACATCATAATATATGAGTATATAGTCCAAATTTATACTAGCTGTGTAGGTGCAGTATTCTCCAAACCAATAAATTAATGTAAAATTGGTCCAGGACTGGTGAAACGTAGGGTACCTGGCAGAAGCAAATGCAAAACAGCCCTTTTGCAACAGTTTTAAAATTTAGGACCATCAGGACTCGCAACTGAAAAGAAAATCTCTACTGAAAGTGAGCTCACAATTTAACCAAAAAAAACGGAGAAGGGGATATACTGTGAAGGATAGTCAGAAGACACAGCAAAAAGGAGGATTCGTATTCTCCTTCTACCAAGAACTTGAAACGGTAGAATAGTCTGAATGAGACCATAAAATATGTTTAAAATGATTAAAGAAAATTATCAACCATCCACTTTCTAGTCAAGATAGGTGGGATCCCATTGCTCCATCTTCTGGAAACACTAGTGTAAGATACTAGACTGGTAATGAGACATCAACAGTAAAATTACTTGGAGTTAAAACTAACATTCTTCAGTAGTTTAAATACCAACACACCAAGCCTATTTGCCAGTTCACTACCTATCTTGTTGCTGCAGTAGTTGACTGCCTCTTTTCCAGCAAGGGTGTAATGATTTAGAGTGAAGATAAGTGAGTCACAATATAACTTGGCTCAGGCTAGAAGAACAAAACAAGGATTGCTGTGCAGATGGAATTGGCTGTTACTATGATGAGAGTAATGTGTTAAGAGACTTTTCCAGCACAGAATCCTGAAGTAACTAACTAACCCAAATCTACATCTGCTCCCTTTTCACTGAAATCTAACCTCCTGTTGATCCACAGAGCCTCAAGCCTAATATTTGAGGACAGTCAGCATGAATGCAAGAATACTTTACTTTAGAAGTAAGAAAGGGAATTTGGATCACAGAAACCAGGGCAAATTTTCTGCTCTTAAAATGAAAAAGAAATAGTAAGTAAATGAGTGTCAGTTTACTTTCCTATTTGCATTTCCATTTCACATTCAATGAAATGAACATCCCAAATAAGAGAAGTTGAATCTTAGTCCAAACTTGTCCCTCAAAAGTATTGATATGGTATTAGGACTAGCAAGGTTTTGTTTTTACAACTCTGACATTATAAAAAGCAAACTTAAAAATTTTCCATCTAATCAAAATGTAATAAAGCATCTCAGCTTCTCTAGGGAAAAAAACTTTCCATCTGTAGTCAACTACTGATTCTCCAGGTTTTCCCTATGGATTCCCTTCGTTCAAGGATGTCATAATTATGCTTATTTTCTCATTAATTGGCATTTCCCAATGGAGAAGATAAGCAAAAACTTGAAAAGAGAAAAACTTTTTCCCTTGTGAGCAGCTCTATGTAATGTGTGCTGGTGGAGTTGAAGCTAATGGCGGGTCCCTTTAGATTTCAGCTTTCATTCTGCCCTTGTCTCAGAGTGAACAAAAAGAATCAAATCTTAACTCCAACCAGCTTAGACCACGTAGATCCACATAAACCCAGGTAAAGATTGGCATTTAAACATTATATTTGAATAATGTTTAAATCCAAGAGCTCATATAGGAAAAATTAGTACTTTTCCTAGTACTTTTCCAGACCATAAAATCAGGGGAAAAAAAATATTTCAGGGTTGAAGAAATGAAATTTTGAATGCAGTGTGGGTTTTAGCTATTTTGGCTACTTTCGTATCAATATATAGGACAAATAAATCAAACCTAGCTGCCAGAAGTATAGTGTAACGCTTAGTACAAAAATTTTTCGTTAAAATGCTCATCGAACTACTTATTGACTTATAGTCTGTTTGAAACACTATTGAAAGGTTAAAAAGACACTCTTCCTTTTTTTTTTTCTTTTGGTGAGGAAGATTGGCCCTGAGCTAACATCTGTGCCAATCTTTCTTCTGTTTTTTGTATGTGGAATGCTGCCACAGCATGGCTTGATGAGCAATGTCTAGGTCCATGCCCAAGATCCGAACCTGTGAACCCCGGACTGCCAAAGTGGAGCGTGCAAAGTTAACCACTACACTACCAGTCTGGCCCCGACACTGTTCCTTCTTAAAATGTAACATAAATTATACCTTAGAGACAAGAATTAAATGCCTAGTAGACATTTAAACCTAGAGAAAATTTTCTACTGTACAGATGTTGGTTGTTAAAGCCTTTGTGAATCCAACTTATAAATATTACACAAAGAAAAGTTTAGCCTCCCCGTGTTGGGAGCCTCTCTTGAGTTTATTTATATTATATAACTATATTCCTTAAAAAAAAGAATTAGGGGCCGGCCCTGCAGCATAGTTAAGTTTGGCGCACTCCACTTTGGTAGCCCAGGTTTGCAGGTTCACATCCTGGGCGCGGACCTACACCACTCATCAGCCATGCTGTGGCGGCGACCCACATATGAAATAGAGGAAGACTGGCACAGATGTTAGCTCAGGGCTAATCTTCCTCAGCCAAAAAAAAAAAAAAAAGAATTGATTCCCTTTATTTAAATAAAGCAAAAACCTTAACAAATGTCTAAATGAATTATCTCTAGATGAGTTTTCTCTGACTCTGATATCCTTGTTTTTCCTTTCATCTCTGTTAGTTGCTTAGAAACATTTTCCAAAATACTTCTTCAAACTTGACACCTGGCAAGTGACTGCTTCTTGCAGTCAAGTCTGCCGAAAGACAATAGAATTATGACATAACGTGTTCATCCTGGTCTTTGCATAGATGCTATAGAGTACGCAGAGCTGCTTGGCTTCCTTTTTCACTGGGATGTAATCTCTTAGGAGAACACGGATGGCACTGTTCTTTCAAGTTTTAATTTTATCAGAGTTATAAAAACACGGTTTAAAGAGTTCAACTCATTCTATAGTTAAGAAAAACCCACTCCCCAGCCTTCTCTCCCCCACATGGCTTCCAGTTTCTTCTTCCATAGAGGTAATCTCTCTTGCTTCTTTTAGTTAATATTTTTTATATTTACCACTCTGTCTCTAAATAACATGCTTATATTACAACTTCTGGATTTTTCCGTTTTAGGTATTCCTGTATATCTCCCCACTCATTGCTCTCATCTATATCCATATTTCCTATCATCCTACTTTCCTGATAGGGCTCTCTTAGAATTTGCTCTAATTGGTGTTCAGTGTTTACATTATTATGACTATATGTACTCTTCAAAGCTGAGCTGTATAGTAAAGTGTGATTATTTTTTTCTCCATAAAACTTTTTGTAAGTAATTGGATATTTACCTGTTAATACCTCTGTCTTTTTGTTTGCCTTATTTTTTGTGTTTTTAACTATAATTCAGTCCCAAATTCTAGTGAGATCAAAATAGTCTCTCAGTTTCACTTCTTGAAGTTTCCTCTGGAGTCTTTTGACCTGCTCCAGTCTGGGCTGATTTTCTTGAACACCTGGAACATAGCTGTCATCTTGGGATCTCCCTTCATCTTCACTCTGGGGATTCATTCCCTTCACCTCTCTTGCATGTTGGGTCTCCTATTGTATTTTTCTTTTCTTGATTTGCTCCCTCGTTTTGATGAAAAACATCCTCCAGTAGCTTCCTGAGTGTAAGTATATAGAAAATAAAGTTTTTGAGACTTCGTGTTTTAAAATATCGTCTTTATCTTCACATTTGTTTGATGGTTTCTGTATAATATTCTGGGTTAGAAGTTATTTTCCTCCTAGTCTGAAGCCATTGTGATTCTTGATCCTTTTCTGTGCCCTGTTCTTTCTCAGTGAAAGTTTGGACGATCCTTTCTTTGTCCCCGTGTTCTGAATTTCACAGTGATGTGCCTCGGTGTGAGTCTCTTTTCACCACTGTGCTGGGTACTCA